GAAACTTCAAGATGATAAATGATGCTTTGAGATAATTCACTACACAGCAATAGGTAACTAATATACTAGGAGATTTTTATATTAAATCAGCTGCAATTTGAGCTACAAATAACTAATGTAAGAAAATGAGATAATGAATTCAATAATTAATATTCAGATTTTCTCATTTATCTTTGAGGTAAAGGTTTATTGTATTTTTTAATTAAAAATTTTATTGAGATAATTACACATTCATATGTATTTATAAGAGAGATTTCTTATATATGTGCATACTTTGCTCAGTTGCCCCACTGGTAACATTTCACAAAATAATAATATATTATCATAACTAGAATACTGACATAGAACAATCTACCCATCTTTTTAGATTGCCTCAGTTTTACTTATATTCATTTTCTGTATGTGTACATTTCTTACATTTTTAATTTTCTCACATACTAAAATTATATGCCTTTATAATTAAAATCTAGCCTTATAAATGTTCTGATGGTAGAAGTCAAGAGACATGATTTCACAGTTTATTTCACAACTCCAAGTTGATAAACTGAAAATGGACTTGGTAACAAAAATAAAGACCACTTATAGCTTATGTAATTGTCAAAGTAAAATTCACTTACCCTGAAAGTTTTCTTGAAAGCAAACTATAAAATAAAATGTTACCATTTCCCCATAATTAATGTATTTGTGTTTGAAATTCAGATGTGAAATAATATTAAATGTGGTCGAAATTTTAACACTGCCTTTTTCCCTTTTACGAAAGAAGTAAAATGTTAATTTTGTGTAACAGTGCCTCGAAAAATCAGTATATCCAAATTTTTATTTATGATCAAGCAGTGTTAAAATTCATACTTAAACATCTAAACACAAACAGCCAAGGAAAAAGTCAAGCTGATTATGAATCATGCAAAGCCAAACACTTTTGCATAAAAGATAAACCTTAGAGGAAAACAAAGGGATACCTACTTTCTGCTGCTAGAAGTCCTAGGAGGAAGGCAGCATATGGACAAACAACAAACAGTATGATTTTAGAGCAAGCAGGTTATCAAGCCACAGTAGGCCCACTAGATGAGCCACAAGAAGCATGGTCCCCCAGCTGACCCCAAAGTAAGCCCTCATGTTTCATGAGCACAATCACTGGGACTGTTTAGGATTCAGACATCAAACACTAAGCTATGGTTCTGACTTCTTTGATTTGAAATATGAGAATAGAATATTTCTACTTTGAATTATCAAGTGACAAAGCAATAATACACTGTGTATCATAAGAGTAAACTCAATGAATTCTAGCAAATGCATAATGCACCAATTTCAATAATCAAAATAGAAAAAATCTTTTATAAAAAAATTATTTTACATTGTAAACAATATACCTAAACATGCTTGATTTTTCATTAGATGACAAATTGGGAAAGTGATTAGTTTTTAAATTATGATTTAAAATATTCATATTTTCCGAAGTGCATACAGTATTACTTTTTACCAAGAAAAGACTTTAATTTAAGGAAACAATATGCTATATTTTTGGAGCAGGCGGCATTACTGCTCTTCTCAGACTTTGGGATTCTCATAGACCAGTAAAATTTCAAAGAATTTTAGAGACCAAATTAGGATTATTAATTTTAAATTTTGTCAAGTAAGGTCATTAAAAATCTAGCTACCTATCATTTATTATCATTTCATAAAAAGAACAGAAAAGGCATTATGTAAAGATAGAAAACAAAGACAGTCCATGTCAAGAAAAGGCAGTTGGTGACTTTACATTGTGCTTCCTCATGCATACACTCACTGTTTCTCCCGCTCTCTCTTTCTCCCTTCTCCTACCTTGTATCCCCCAAAACTACTCCCTGAAAGTACATGCTATATGATCATTTTTCTCTTTTCCCCATGGACTTGAACAAACTTTCAGGTAATGAGGAAAAGTGCTTCATGTTTGGTACTGAAAAACTAACTCAGGCAAATTTAACATAACGACCGGAAAGGATAACTTTGGGAACTTAAAATAAATGATATAGATTTTAGGCATTAATATAAACAGAGAAGAATTCAGGCTTGGAGGTCTCTCTCTCACCTTTTCTTCTCCATGAGAGAGACCCATTTCCAAATTCTCTTTGGAAGTGCTCTAAACTTCCTCTTTGTTCTTCCTAAAATCGCTCTTAATTACCCTGAAACTCGTGTATGTTATTTTCACATTCTATCCACAATGCCTGTGCCACAAAACATAAATTAAAAAAATTATGCTTGGAAATTAATAAAAATATTAAAAGATAAAATAACAAAAATATAGATGTTTTGACTTATAAAAATGTAAAGTTCTATGGGAGAACCAGGTAAATGATCAGCTTTCTATAACTAACATATAGCTATCTGTTGCTGGCAAATAGCTATTTGATAAACAACACTGATCATAATAGTAGAATACCTTCCTTTAAATGGCTTAGTATTAAAAATTAATTTTAGAAATATATTAATAGGTAGTGCCTTATAGCTCAGTGGATAGGCCGCCAGCCACATATACCGAGGCTGGCAGGTTCGAACCCTGCCCGGGGCCTGCTAAAACAACAATGATAACTACAACAACAACAACAACAACAAAATAGCCAGGCATCGTGGTAGGCACCTATAATCCCAGCTACTTGGGAGGCTGAGGCAAGAGAATCGTTTGAGCCCAAGAGTTTAAGGTTTGGCACTCTACCCAGGGCGACAGCTTGAGACTCTGTCTCAAAAAAAAAGAAACAAATATATCAATAATTTCTGATAGGTATGTGAAATTTAGGAAAACATTAGCATTTTCTTCAAAATTTTATAATTAAAAGATTTAAATTTTTTTTTTAAATTTAGGGTGATTAGTGTTAGCTATGTACACAGCATTTTAATTCTTCCATTTTCTATTTGTAGCACCTGCACAGTACAATTAAAAAATACTTACAATAGACATTTAGCGTGTCAAATCATGATACAAACTATTTACAAGATCATTAAGATGCAGGAATTTCAAAAAAAGAAAAAGAAAATAGAGAAAGAAAGAGAAATAGGTGTGACTACAGGAAAGGGAGGGTAAGAAGGAATGCTAAATAGTGAATTAACAAATTTGAGGGTTTGTAGGTTACTGGCAGATGAAGGAAGAAATGTCTTTTTCGCCTAAAAATCAAGTAAGATAAACAGAAATTTACTTAAGAGTTCAATAAATTCCTGCTAGGCAGAGATAAATGTCAAGGCAATTAGATCTATAAAGTGATTTGCAAGGACCATACTGTTCTTTAGGTCCATTTCTTTTCTTTTCTTTTTTTTTTTTTATTAAATCATAGGTGTGTACATTAATGCAATTATGGGGTACAATGTGCTGGTTTTATATTTAGGTCCATTTCTAAGAATACGTGGCAGTAGAGATCTTGTCCTAAAATCTCAGAGAGATTTATCCTAAATACATGACTATATAATGTAGTCACAGTATGACATAAAAGTGATTACTAGATCCACTGCCCTAGATCCAACTGTATCCAACTGGATTACTAGATCCAACTGTAATCTGAGTGTGAGGAGAGAAGTCAGAGGTTTAAGCTAATAAAAAAAGTTACAAGTGGAAGGAACAAAATGAACTAGAGGAAAAAAAGACAGATGTGAAATGATAAGGAGCACTGGGAACCATACCTATAAACAAAACTATGTCCGTGCCTTTTATGTGGTAAGGGGTGTGGATAATTACCAAGTCAGCACAAGAGGAAAATGGCAAGGCTTCCTCCTCAAAGAGACTCTTCTCTAAGATTCCTGTTTCTGAATGTTTTTGGAAATTACCTTCATTCAAAAGAGGAAGAGTCATGTCCCAGTTGGTAAAAATCAAAATAAGGACTATATTCCCGCTGGAATGGGAAATTTGATCCTGGCATTTTGTATCAGGTATAAACACATATTAATTGGTAAGAAATTCTGTGTATGTACGTGCATATACATGTATAAACAGGAGGGAAGAAACATTACTATTGACAGATGCTAATGATCTCAACAGGGAAGAATCATTAGTATACCTACTCTTCCTCCATTGCTAAGAGTGGAACAACCAACCATGCTTTAGGAAGGGCCCAGGGTCCAATGGTAATACATGAATATTAAAGAAGCCACTCCAAGAGTACAAAAACCGAATCAGCAGCACAAAGTCAACCATATCACATACACTAGTAACCTAATGAAAGAAAGAAAAAAAGCTGAGGCCAGAGGACATAAGACTTAGGAGTTTAAAAAAAAAAAGACTCAGGAGTTAAGTAAATAAACACATAGATAAAATTTAAAAACTCATAAAACATATATGCACATGCATGTACATATATATGTAAATGGTTCCTATGGATTTTTAGTAAATGATCCTTGAGAATAGCTCAGTGGTAAGATGGATATCTGAGCATTTTATAAAATGATTTTGTGAACACTAGCAAGTTTTTTCAGGAGTACCTATGCACAGTTCATCAAAACAGGTAATTCTTCTATGTTCTTCTCCCTTGCATACGTATATTATGGAATTTAGAGAAAGAGAAGAACTTGATAATTGTTTCAAGAGATAACTTACAAGATAGCTTTATATACATATATTAAAATATTCAATTCAAAGCAGTGTTGTCCCAAAGTCTGATCTAATACGGTTGATATGGGGAAAGTCTTACGTTAGAAGTTTCTGTGAGAGGGAAGGTAATCAGAAAGATCCAGAAAGACTGACTGCAAGGCTGGACTGGATGAAGTGTATGTTGGGTCTAGACTGTGGAAAGGTGAAGAAGTATTACTGAGATAAAAAGAAACAAGTGAAACGTTGGTTTTGGACCTGTAGAAGAAAGCAACTTTGGTATTAAAAAAAGAACAAGAGATATATAGACAGGATTTGGCTGCTGACAAACTTCCTTAGACTCCCTTGAAGGATTTGACTAAATTCATAGAAAAAGTTTATTGACAATGGAAGAGAAAGGATGTAGACATAGCATGATTCGTACAGGTGAATGAATGAATTATCCAATTACCTGAGGAGGTAGGGTCTTCAGAGAAATCTGGCAACTCTTCAGGGGGATCCCCATAGAATGAGTTGAATTTGTGACTTGACACAGCAGCTAGTACTGCACCCTAAAGCAAAGAGATTAAAAGTACATTATTACATAAATATAAACAAGTTACTTAACAAATTATTATTGTTATTTTTTGAGTCTTACTTTGTTGCCCCTGGTAGAGTGCCGTGGTGTCACAGCTCACAGCAACCTCAAACTCTTGGGCTTAAGTGATTCTCTTGCCTGAGCCTCCCAAGTAGCTGGGACTATAGGTGCCTACCACAATGCCTGGCTATTTCTTTGTTGCAGTTGTCACTGTTGGGTTCTAACCTGCCAGCCTTGGTGTATGTGGCTGGCGCCATAACTACTGTGCTACGGGCGCAGAGGCATATTTTAAGGATTATTAAGAAAGTCAAATATTTATCCATTTATGGGTTGATGGGCACTTGGGTTGTTTCTAAATCTTTGTGATTTTGAATTGAGCTGCTATAAACATTTAAGTGCAAATGTCCTCTCTCTCTATATATATATATATATTTTTATTGAGATAAACAGAGTCTCACTTTGTTGCCCTTGGTAGAGTGCCATAGTATCATAGCTCACGGCAACCTCTAACTCCTAGGTTCAAGTGATCTCTTGCCTCAGCCTCCCCAGTAGCTGGGACTACAGGCGCCTGACATAATGCCTGGCTATATATTTTTTCGTTTTAGCAGGCCTGGGCCAGGTTCAAAACTACCAGCCCCAGTGCATGTGGCCGGTGCCCTAACCACTGTGCTACGGGAGCCCCATGTCCTCAATATTAATATGAAACTAGGAGATAAACAGCTATATGCCCACATAAAAGAAAAACACATTTAAATTCAAGAAGCAGGGAGGTTTGGTAAACTCTACATATTGGGTACAATGTAGGGGTATATGGTACATCTCCTGGTAAAGGGCCCAACTATAACTTGGACTTTACCTAACAAATGCAAACAATGTAATTTAAATCCTAGGCACCCTTATATTAATCTGAAATAAAATTTAAAAAATTAAAAAAGTCAAGGAGTGGCACCTGTGGCTTGAGGGGGTAGGGCACTGGCCCCATATGCTGGAGGTGGTGGATTCAAACCCCAGCCCCTGCCAAAAATAATAATAATAATAATGCTGCAGAAAGATGTTTGCAATGCAAAAAATTGTTCTAAAACAATGTATAGCATGATCTCATTTTGGGGGGAAAAAGTTAATATAGATATAAAAGACTATATGTCAGAATGTTAATAGCATTAATTATCTCTGGATGGTAGGATTATGAATTATTTTTCTTTTTTAAATAATTTTCCCCCTTTCAACAATGACTATGTTTTACTCTTGTATAGTACTTCTCCATGAGGCCAGAGATCAGAATCAACCACATGGGACTCTTTTATGCCACTTGCATAGCCTCCCCTGATTCCTAGTTTAGAATCATTGCCTTATTGAGTGTGTGACATCCCTTCGGACTATTGAATGGGAAAATGTTGGAAGTTATTGTTCTAGTAACAGGAAGAATGATAAAACTTGGGAATTTGCTTCCTAGCTTTGCTACTTTCCAGGTACACGACACTGCGTGAGTAAATCATTTAGGATCTCTAAGTTTTCATATTTGTAAAGTGAAGACATTAATAAAAGTGACATAACATCTTACAGGAGTGTCAAAAGTCATAAGGTATATGAAGGTGCTTTACAAACTGTAAAGCATTTTGTAAATGCAGTAAATCATGACTGACTCCACTAACACAGCACTAGAACATGCGTAGGGCCTTTTGCTGGTCTGTATGGAATTGTTCATTTAGGTAGTTTAAGTATCACATTACCTAAGTAGTAGTCTTAGTCTAAATTTTAAATATTGAACTCTTGGGTTTTTCTGAAAATAAAGATAAGTTTTTTATGTGTTCAGGCATTTGTTAATAAATATACAGAAACATCAACAAAATACATTCCCACAAAGTATACTTTAGAGTTTCTTTCTATAAGTATAAATTGAAAAGCAGGGAGATTGTAGAAAGGTAAAAGCAAAAAACAGAGAAGTCACCTTGAAGCTACCATTCTAGACAACTTTTGAGATTTCCCCAAATCCAGAGGTTCTTACACAGAACATAGTGACCACATTGAAAAAAAACAGTAGTGAATGTCGAGTTCTTCTTTCTATAGAAGCAGCTTATTTCACTTTACTTATTATACATGTTCCCTAAAAGCTGGGTGGGGATGAAATTTTTGTTTTGTATATCAAATCATGTTTCCTACACACTGAAACACGACTTTTAGAGATACTTTATTTTTATTTCCACAGGAAGTTCAAATGAGTTTCTTAAGATATTAAGCTTTATGTTTCAAGGCCTGTTCAACTACTATTATAGTCAAAATTCTAAAAATAAATATTTATACTACTAGGAAAACACTCTTTTGAAAAGCACCCTGAGAGGTAAATTCTTCTGTAAACAACAGCAGTAAATTCCTAATTTATGTGTCTTGTGGCTATCAATTTTTTTTATTTAGTTCTCCAAACTCAGTGGACTATATGAGGTTTGCATATTCAATGTAAAGTTATTATGTAAACCAGCAAAATAGCTATGAAATAGTTTATGGACTCATAGAATTTGATTAGAGTCTGAGAGTCAATCTCAGAGATAAATTCATTTTAATGGACTCATTTTGCAGATGAGGAAACTGAGGTCCAAAGAGGCTTAGCAATCTTGCTAACTTAAGAGACACAACCAAGAATAGACAGAATTGGGATTAACTCATTATTCTCCTCAAGTCAAGGATGTCTACTATGCCAGGGGTCAACAATTTTTTTCTGTAAAGGGCCAGACAGCAAACATTTTAGGCTTTGAAGGCCATGGGGTCTCTTTTGCAACTACTCTACTAACACAGCCCCAAAGCAGTCTTAGACAATATATAAATGAGTGTACATTACTATGTTCTAAAAAACCTTTATATGTAAAAATAGGCAGTGAGTTGCATTTGGCTGCCAGGCTGTTGTTTGCCAACCCCTATTCCAGTGGTTCTCAACCTGTGGGTTGCAACCCACAGGAACTATATTAAAGGGCTGTGGCATTAGGAAGGTTGAGAACCACTGCGCCTATTCTACACTCCTGCTATTGAAGAATTGGTGGTTATAACAATATAAAATCAGATTGTTAGACAAGTGGTTCTTCAAATTTTCTGATTTATTATACCCTTGACAAGGAAGTTTTCTGCTTTAATTTAGAAGCTACACTTTAATATGCTTTAAGAGTAAAACATAATAATTTTGAGTTAAGAAGACTATGCATAATTTATTAAGGTAAATAACACTAAACTTGTAATTTTATACTAAGCAAATTGTGAATCTTTCTAAATGTAGAATATAAATGTCTTAACACAATAACTAAGAAAGTGACATGAAGGCTATGTTAACCAGTTGATGAAAATATTTCAAATTGTATATAAAAACAGTACACTGTACCCCCTAACTGTATTAATGTACACAGCTATGATTTAGTAAAAAGAAAAAAGAAATAAAAGAAAAAAAAAGAAAGAAGACAGATTCTAAATTCACAGAAAAGGAAACTGTAATTCTTAATTTAATCATAATTATGGTTTTCTTGAAATGTCAATATGTCCAAATGCCAAGATGGAATACTTCTGGCTACATGATTTTGTGTTTAAGGAAATAGAAAAAAGGAAAATGGTTAGCTCAGATTTCTGCTAAGTTGAACTACTGAATGCAGTTGAGAAGGCAACAAAATTAGTAAGGAACACAAAAGTTAAACAGAGATGTATTACTGACTTGAAGACAGAAAAGACAGAATCAATACTCTTTTTTGGGTACTCTTTAACCGAGCTTGGAAACAAGCATAAATCTGATAGGCATAAGGGTAAGAAGGTACATGTAAAAAAGTCTAAGTCCAAATTATACAAGTGTCAGATGTAGAATAATTGGCTTTGTTCCCAAATGGCAAGGTAACACGTAGTCATATTGCTGACTGAGGGGGATAACATACCGAGGAAATACAGCGAGGGGGAAAAGCCCGTTGCTGGAGTATGTGACAACAGAATCTGAGAGAGAATCATCCTATTAGGATTCAAACACACTGAACTCAACGGCTTAAAAAGGTAGAGAATTTGGAGAGGTTGAATCTGAACAGAGATGATTAAAAGGCTAGAAAATTATTTCAAGGTAGAAATCCTTTAAGGTTTTGGATTTATTACATCTAAGAATTAGGTTCTAGATGATAATTAGCTGAGATCACTGATTAAATCAGAACTTCTGATATGTTCCCACATAGTTACAACTAATCATCCATAACCTATACATATATGATACTCAAATGTATTCTAAACACAGGTTGAATGCCTGGAATTTAGTAATATTCTCTCAGGATATATGACTAAAAGAGGCTATACTATCTTCTTTAAAGAAAATGAAAAATGAGACTTCAAAGTGTACTTGATGTGGCTATACTTAAGAGCAATTGCATGGCATATCTATGATATGAATATCTTAGAAATCCTCTTGAGTCTGTATAAAAGTATTTTATAAAGATGGTCTTAAAGGTACATAATAACTTTCAAAAGCTATACTACCCAACAGGAATTAAAAAATTCTACATTTCTTAATAGAATTGCTTTATAAAATAAATACAGGAAGATCAAAATCACTTCAATTATTATTTGTGGAATTGTTCATATCAGAATAACAGTTTTCAGTTTTTATAATCAAAGGTGCTTTTGGATATCAGATTTAATTCTATTAGCTGGAGCCCGTAAATGCTGTCCTAACATACTACCTTTGTACGAACTGCACTACAGAGGACTTGTATGTAAATGCTAGGTTTCATTAAGGCACAAAGGTCTTTGATAAAACTTATCTTAGCTCTTGTTGAATAAATAAGAAAGGGGAAGATTGCCAAAAAGCAGCCATTATAGCTTCCTGGTTGACTTCCCCAAAGGTGCTGCTTATGTATAATAAGCATTACTTTTGGAGGTACTAAGATTCTATATAGCAGTATTGTACAAGAGAACTTTCTATGAGGGTAGAACTTTCTTTACTTGTACTGTACAATAAAGTAGCCATTAGCCACATGTGACACTGAGCTTTTGAAATGTAGCCAGTGCAAATGAGAAGTCAAGTTTTAAATTTTATTTAGTATTACTTTATTAAAATTAAAGTATAAGTAGCTACATACATCTAGTGGCTACTACAATGGATAATGCAGCTCTATAAAGTACAGGCAGTCCCCAAGTTGAGAATGAGGTGGGTTCTGAAGGTTTGTTCTTAAGTTGAATTTGTATGTAAGTTAGAACAGGTACATTTACCTATTACCTGTAATAAGCTCTGTTTGTAAGTATGTGTCGTAAGTCAGTTGGATATTTGTAATTCAGGGACTACCTATACTAGCAAACAGCACTGCTAAACAAATCTTTCCTAGCTATGCACAATTCAGGAATGCAAGAGACCAATAAGTCAGTCTGAGAAAACTTGGGCAGTTTGCAAAATCAATAAAGGAATATTATAGAAAGTTATCAGAAATCCTCTTTGCTTTCTGTATATACAGGGAATAGTTTTTTCCTCTTAATTGAATCATATTGATCAACTCATTTTCTTTTTTCTTTTTTTTTTTTTTTTTTGAGACAGAGCCTCAAGCTGTCCCCCTAGGTAGAGTGCTATGGCTTCACTGCTCACAGCAACCTCCAACTCCTGGGCTCAAGCGAGTCTCCTGCCTCTGCCTCCCAAGTAGCTGGGACCACAGGCGCCCGCCACAATGCCTGGCTATTTTTTGGTTGCAGCCATTATTGTTGTTTGGCAGGTCCGGGCTGGATTCGAACCCGCCACCTTAGGTGTCTGTGGCTGGCGCCTTAGCTGCTTGAGCCACAGGCACCGAGCCACCATCAACTCATTTTCTAAACTTACTCAAATATAGAATATTGCTTCTACTTATATAGAATTTCTTCAGCATACTTCACTGTGGGGCAATTTGCTTTCTAGGGGTAGAAATAATTGATGAAGCAATGGAGATGACTTCTAGAACAGATGCCCTCCTGAACCTCTTCTCTAGATAGACAAGCTCAAATACTCAGACACCCCTTTGCTCAGTAACTACTTCAGTAGATGATACCCTGGGTTAGACTAAAAATGTGTTCCCTTAAGAGCCCCATACCCACAGAGCACAGCTTTCCACATAGCCTGAAGATCACACAGTCTGCCCCATGCATCCTAATATTCAGTTTGAGAAAATATGATCCTCATACCTAGTTCTGTACACAGGGATTATATAGTTTATTAAGGGAAGTATTGTTTCTAGAGAAAAATTCTGGAGCTTAGTATGCAATAAAAAGGAAAAATATCCAACACATGAAATGTCTGAATGTCTGTCTGGAAACCAAAATGGGGAAAAGACATTTTCTATCATCAAGAAAGATCATGACTTAAGTAACAAAAGTAATTTTCTACTGTTTTCTGTGAACTTCCCTTTCAATCATTTCCAAGGGAATCATAAAAATTAGGCTGTCATCTACCATTTGAGGAGGTTAGAAATAGTATCTAGGTAGAAGGATGGGCACCTAGCTATGTGAAAATAAGGTGTGAGGTGGGCTCTGAGAGCCAGGGAAGTTGTAATCTTTGTCCTAAAAGATTGTAAAAGAGTCAGAATTAGAATTAGTTTCTTTAGAATGGTCAGTATAAAACATTTTAACCTGACGGCTGAACTATTCTACGGAACACAGCCTTACCAGAAGCTGAAAAAAATTCAATAATGACACTGCTGATCTTCCAAATTCTAGATTGTCTGGTGGTTCAAAAATTTTAAATAGCCCTACAAAGGGATGTGGTAAATCCACATGACCTCTCTCTGATGTGACAGCTTGGCCCTGTCCAAGTGAATCTTAGTCACCACTTTGGCTATTTTAGGCCCAAGTCTGATTTTGTGGCCCTAGGAGAAGTATAGCTTCTTCTTGTGATGGGGCAAGCACGAGATGTCCAATGAAATGCCTGTACTTGGGTAATGAAAGGTTCAACCCCACATAATGCAATGTCACATGATGCCAAAGCAGCATTTGAGTTAAAAAGATTTAGGGAATAGTTGAGAAAGAAGTATAATTAATAGTTTCCTTCCCAAGGAAACTAACTTCAGAAATAGCTGACCAAATTTTACTTTGGATAACAATATATAGAGATATATATATATTTTTTGAGATAGTCTCACTACGTTGCCCTAGGTAGAATGCCGTGGTGTCACAGCTCACAGCAACCTCAAACTCTGGGGCTTAAGCGATTCTCTTGCCTCAGCCTCTCAAGTAGCTGGAAGTGCAGGTGCTGCCACAATGCCCGGCTATTTTTTTGTTGTAGTTGTCATTGCTATTTAGCAGGCCGGGGCCAGGTTTGAACCCGCCAGCATTGGTGTACATGGCTGGCGTCCTAATCACTGAGCTACAGGTGCCGAGCCAGATAATAAGATTTTTTTCTTTTGTAGGCTACGCCAGTTCAAGTCAATATCAATGCCAAAAAAAAAGTCTTAGGAAACTTCTTTGGGCACCATTTCAGTAATGGCATATAATTAGTAATTATTTTTGTGAAGGATTTTTAAAGCAAATAAAGAACAGCTAATTTGAACTGCAAAAACAACTATGAGAAAGGATAAAATGGGAATAATGGGAATAAACAACACCAACAGTGATAAATTACAATTTCTCTTGTTCTATAATACCACTGTCCAATAGAATTTTTTACAATGATGGAAATCTCCTATACCTATGCTGTCAAATATGGTAGTTAATATGTGGTTACCGAGCAATTGAAATGTGCTAGTGTGACTGGGAACTGACCTTTCAATTTTGTTTACTTTTACTTAATTTAAATTTAAATAGCTGCATGTGGCTAGTGGATATCATGTTGGACAGTTCAGCTCTAAAGGATAAAATAATGGCCTAATAGTGTCTCCAAAATTCATATAAATATTCTCACAAAGCTAGAGTTGTATGCAATCATTCGTAAACTGCAGGGGCTGAATAATAAATTCATTTATTATTGAAAGTTAAGACATATCTGAGAATACTTAAGAAGAAAAGTTTTATAATTGGCAGGAGTCATATGACAAAGGAGTACTGTCCAATCATCACTTAGAGAAGAGTTAACATTATCAGAATCAAAGTAAGTCAAACATACATTAATTTTAATTTTGAGTCCTTAAGAAAGGCAAGTTTCCTTTGTTACCCTGGGAATGGGAGGTATGCTGTTCCATAGCATTTTCTCCTGAGGCTGGAAAGACTCTACTATTTTATGTTAGATCTTTTTCAGAACCTTTTAAAGTCAAATGGACTCCCCCAATGGAGTGATAACCATTTTTCTTTTCTTTTCTCTTTTTGTGGTATAGTGAAAGATACAAAGAATAGTAAAAGGGATAAAGATACCTAAGAAGAATAAAGAAAAGATGAGAAAGTAATCTGAAAATATTTTCTAGTAGATCAAGGTAGTGAGAGGGATTTTATTTATAGCTTTATGATGGTAATTTAATCCTAGTTCCAGTTCTAATTCAAGGTTATTTCCACTGAAGTAAAGAAACTTACATTTTCTGTCAAAATATTTAATTTTGAGAAAACATGCCTAGATTCACATTCAGTAATAGTGGATAATAATGAAATCATATCTCTGCTATGAATTTTAAAGACAACAAATATAAAATATAAGTAATCTTCCATTTATCATAATTTATTGTTTAGATTCATACTGAGATGTTATCTTAATTGATTTAAAATGCCAACATCTTATTGAAATGGGGGTAATTTTTGGAAATGAGAATTTAGCCATAACAAAAACAATGGTTTATGTATTTATGGGCACTGAACCAGAATAAAAATATTATCTTTAACTATATCTGTCTGGCTTTTTTGCTGAGTTCTTTAATTTACCTTTAGTTTCCTTCTTGCATTGAATTTCCTCAGTTGCTCTACTGTTTCTGGAAGATGAATCTTGTAGGCATAACGGTCCCGCTCCTATAAAAGACAAAAGATAATAAATGTATACAACCATTTAAAAAAGGTGAAGAAGCTTAATCTAAGACAAACAACAAAGCTCAAATTCTAGGAGATTGGCGATTTTATTCTATTAAACAATCTGAAATGAAGATACAAAGGTTAAAACTAGTAGTAAAATAATATTTTATTTTCAGCAACAATAAAGGATTGAAATAAAAGGTAATGTAATTTTCAGATACATTGCTATGTGGCTAAAGTAATCATAATTATTAGGAAGATATCAAGATATCTTTGAAATGATTTGTCAGATAAAAATAGGCATTTGAAAAATCACCTCCACAACTGAACTGGCACTCTACATTGTCAGGAATAACTAGACTATAAAAATCACAAAATCTCTGAGCAAGAACAAGACTCCCTCTCTAAAAATAGCCAGACATTGTGGCAGGCACCTGAAGTTCCAGCTACTCGGGAAGCTGAGACAAGAGAATCCTTTGAGCCCAAGAGTTTGAGGTTGCTGTGAGCTATGACACCACAGTACTCTACCAAGGGTAACAAAGTAAGATTGTTTAAATAAAAAAAAAAAAGATCACAAAATCTTTGAACTCTGACAAACTTTTCGAAACCATCTAATTTAACCATTTCCTCCATGCAGAATCCCCTTTCATCCTCAGTGGATGATCATTCTGTCTGACCTCACCCAGTAGATCATCATTTTCTGACAGCCCATTATAATTTTTAAAAAGTGTAATTTTGAAAATGTTCTTCTCTAAAGAATGCTTTCAGTCACCTCAAACTATTCCTTATGTATATTTCAAACCTCTTGTTATTCTTTTTCTCCTCCACTTTGGTTCTACTGTAACTTGTCAATGCATCTTGAAGATTTGTCAATACATGATATAAGCACTCATTAATTTCATAAAATTTTTTTTTGAGAGCTTACTATGGGCCAGGCATTGTAAAACTAACAAAGATTCCAGCCCTCATGCAGTTCATAATCTAGTGGGAGAAGATAAGAAAATAGAAAAAAGGTAAGTTAGAGAATTAGCAAGGAGACCAACGTGGGTGCAATGTGTATGAAGTGACCAGGTTGGATGAGATCAGGTCAGAGATATGACAAGTCTTGGGTAGAGCCATGAAGTGCTTTTTGGCTTTTATTCTGAGTGGGAGAGAGAACCCTTGAGCTGGATCGTCATGATCTCACTTACCTTCATGTTTCATTTATTTTTTTAGAAACATGGTCTTGCTATGCCTCACAGGCTGAAGTGCAGTGAGAAGTGCATGATTAAAACTCACTGTAACTTCAAACTCCTGGCTCAAGGGATCATCCTGCTTCAGTCTCCTGAGTAGCTGGGACTATAGGCACACAGTGTACCACCATGCCTGACTAATTTTTGTATTTTTTTTGTAGAGATGGAGATCTCATTATTTTGCTCAGGCTGGTCTTGAACTCCTGGCCTTAAGTGATCATATTGCCTTGGCCTCCCAAAGTGCTGAGATTACAGGTGTGAGCCACCACTCCTGGGCCGCTGACTTAACTTTAAAGGAACACTCTGGTGTTGTGTTGAGAATAGACTGGAAGGGGATATAAAAGAAGAAAAAGTAGGAAGACTAGTTAAGAGGCTATTGCAGTAATCCAGGTGAAAGATGATGGTAGATGAAACTAGGTAAGAAATTAATAAAAATAGTAAAAAAGAGGGCGGCGCCTGTGGCTCAGTGGGTGGGGCGCCGGCTCCATACACCAAGGGTGGCGGGTTCAAACCTGGTCCCGCCAAACTGCAACGAAAAAATAGCCGGGTGTTGTGGTGAGCGCCTGTAGTCCCAGCTGCTTGGGAGGCTGAGGCAAGAGAATGGCCTAGACCCAGGAGTTGGAGGTTGCTGTGAGCAGTGTGATGCCACGGCATACTACCCAGGGCGACAAAGTGAGACTCTGTCTCTACAAAAAAAAAAAAAATGGTGAAAAGGAGACAGACTCTTAATTATTTCCATTTTGTTTTCAGCATAACTGAAGTATAATTTGTATATAATAAACTGCACGTGTCTAAAATGTACAATTTGATAAGTTTTGACATATATCTACAACCACAAAACCATTGTCACAATCAAGATAATGAACAAATCCATCACTGTCAAAAGTATCCTTGTGCCCTTTTGTAATCCCTTCTCCCCAACCCCAGGCAGCCACTGATTTACTTTCTGTCACTATAGATAAGTATGCATTTTCTAGAATTTTATATAAATGGAATCATACAGTATGTGTTAATTGTTATCCAGGTGTTATTCAGCATGATTTTGAACTTATCCATTTTGTTGCATGTATTTTGTTGCATCCATTTTGTTCATTCCTTTCTCCTGTTGAGTAGTATTCCATTGTATGCATATACCCCATGGTTTATGCTTTCACCTATTGATGGACCTTTGCTTGTTTCCAATTTTTGGCTATTTCATATAAAGGTGCTGTGAACATGCATGTATAAGTCTTTGTGTGAAGATATGTTTCACTTCTGTCAGGTAAGTACTAAGAAGTAGAATGGCTGGGGCATATGATAGGAGTATGTTTAACTTTTCAAGAAACTACTAAACTGTTTCCTAAGTGGCTATACCATTTTACATTCCCATTAGCAGTCTATGAGTTCCTTCTGTTTTACATCCTCTCCAACACTTGTTACCGTCAGTCTTTTTGATTTTAGCCATTCTAATACATGTGTACAGGTATCTCATTTTTCAAAGAACAGAAGTTCTTATTTCCACATGTATTCTGAAGGTAGACAGAAGAGGGTTTTGTGACAGATTAGATGTGTGGTATGAGAGAAAAAGGGGAGTCAATGACAACACCAAGCTTCTCAGTGTGAGCTCCAACTGAGATGGGAAAACTGAGGCAGGCAGCCTGAAAGATGCATGTCAGACCTAGATTCTAGAGCAACAAACTGGAATTGGAGATGATTTAAACAGAATAAACACTTTTCCTACAGTCTACAGTTTTGGTCAGAGTTATTGATAACAAGGAAATTAAAGATTCAAAGTGGAGTGCTAAAGTGACTACCCAATGATAAGATAATATGCATAGGTCACCTGTGCCTCCACTAATTCCCCTAAAATTTCAGATATGATATATAAAGCAAGTAACTCAAGACTCTAAAAGCTGGAGAAAAGGAGGTGTAGTGGGTAGGGATCCCATGACTAGAAGGGCAACCTGTGGTAATATTGCTAGATTTTTTTTTTTGCTTCCTAATATACCCTGGCCTGAGGGTGAGAGCAGCCCACAACCTAGAAACTTCAAAGACAAGGACAACAGACAAAATGGGACCCTCAAAGCACACTCTCTTTAGGCAAAAAACTGAGAAGTGGCTCCTGTAGGACATAATCATTTCTGTATTTCTGTTAGCATCATTTGAAAATCTATTTCATAGCCTGCCCATGTCTTTTTTTCCCAATGGATTGGGAAATTTCCTATGTATCTGACTGTTAACTATATTTCTAGTGAACACCTTTTCTGTCCACCATTCACTAAGATGAAGCCAAGAAAGGTAAGGACAGAATCAAAAAGTAGAGTTTTGGGGGCAGTGCCTGTGGCTCAAAGGAGTAGGGCACCAGCCCCATATGCTGGAGGCGGCGGGTTCAAACCCAGCCCTGGCCAAAAACTGCAAAAGGAAAAAAAAAAGGTAGAGTTTTTTAAAACACAAAATTATGCTTCATTATGATTTCTTATTATTTAATTTTGAGACAAAATCTCATTTTGTCACCCTTAGTAGAGTGCTATGACATCATAGCTCACAGCAAGCTCAAACTCCTGGGCTCAAGTGATCGATCCTCCTGCCTCAGCCTCCCAAGTAGTTGGGAGTACAGGTGCCTACCACAACATCCAGCTATCTCATAATTTTTAAGATGATGAAATCATGAGATTAAAAAAAGTCAGTTAAATTATCTCTTACCAGAAAACATGTAAGCATTAATAAAATCTCAAGGCATTAGAAATGAGACAACAGAGTAAAAATATCATTTTTATGTATTAAATATTCCCTCCTACACTGATAATAATGTGACATGAATTCTGAAAAGTTTTTATAGCACACTAGATACTGATAACACATTTAAGTGGTGTGTTGATTGATTTTTCAATTCATATTGATTAGCCTGAGATAAACACTCTCTCCACCTTTTATCATAGTCAATATAATTTACAGTCTACATATTAAAGCTACAAATGGTATGAGAAAAGCTCAATCATGTATGAGGAAAGTACAATCTTAGCCTACCTTTGTTGGAATAAATATTCACAGCAAGCATCATTAATTCAGATAGATAAAGGTATTAAACAGGTATAATTTAATAATCATAAGATATAAAACATTCAATACTATTTGGCCTAATATTCAAATTCTTTCTTTTTTTTTTTTTTTTGAGACAGAGTTTCACTTTGTCACCCTTGGTAGAATGCTATGGTGTCATAGCTCACAGCAACCTCAAACTCCTAAGCTTAAGAAATCCTCTTGCCTCAGCCTCCCAAGTAAGTAGGATTACTGGTGCCTACCACAATGCCTGGCTATTTTTAGAGACAAAGTCTCCCTCTGGCTCAGGCTGGTCCTGAACCTGTGAGCTCAGGCAATCCACCTGCCTCAGCCTCCCAAGTGCTGGGATTACAGGCGTGAGCCAAAATTCTTTTTTTAATATGAAATGCTTGAATAGAACATTATGATTCTCGTGGTTTTACCAAAAAGACAGTTTCTTTCTTTCTTTTTTTGACATAAAGCAGTGGTATGTCAAGTACTATGACTTTGGGCACTCTTCATCACAAGGATTTTCATCATCTTATTTCTTCACTTTGTAGGATACAGTTTTTCATATTTAAGCCCTAGCTTCAATTTTAGTCATTCACTAAGAATGACTAAATACCACTTACATCCATAGTGGTGTTAAATATACATGGACAAGTAATAAAATATCACATCTCCTTTCACCAGCTAGATAACATTCTCATTGAATTTTTCTATCTTCAAATGACACATAAGGACTGAAGG